GAGACTCGAGGAGCTAGAAGGAGATGATGAGGGGGAGACATTAGGCATGGTAGGCCTACGTGAGGTGCTCTCCAATCTCCAAGCTCGAGTGGAAACGGTTGAGAGGTGTGCCGAGGAGAGCGCTGCCGAAAAGGATGCCTTCATGGAATGGACGAAGGAGAGCTTTAAGCAACATCAAGAGTATATGACCGGGTATGAGCAAACTCTTGAACAACTTAGAAAAGATTGGGCAAATTGTCGAGAGGCTATCTCGAATGGTGTGGTCTTAAGGGATACGTCAAAAGTTGAAGTGCCACGACCAAGGCATTATACCGGCAAGCGAGATGCCAAAGAGGTGGACAACTTCTTTTGGCAAGTAAAGCAATATTTCGAGGCAATGGGCTTGACCGAGGATAGAAGTCGTGTCAAGACCGCTACCCTCTATCTTTCGGAGGACGCCGCTTTATGGTGGCTTATGAAGCACCAAGAGCTCAAATAGGGGAATCTAGAGCTGCCTAGTTGGGATGAATTCAAAGAAGCTATGTATGCTCAATTCTACCCCAAGGAAGCGGATTGGGAAGCACGGGACAAGCTACGAACATTGAAGCATACGGGAACTATTCACGAGTATGTTCGAGAATATCTTTCTCTTAAACTTCGTGTACGTGGCAAACCCGACTATGATCATATGTATGATTTTATTAAGGGACTTCAATCATGGACACAACAAGAGGTGCGAGGTCGACGACCTAAGACCTTCGCCGAAGCCGTGGCCATAGCTGAATCCTTAATTGAATATAACAAAAGTGGCGAACCCTCCAAGCCTAAGAAAGACTTCAAGGGCAAAGGTGGGGGAGCCTATGAAAGGAAGGGGTATAGAGATGGGCAAGACAAAGCACATAAGTCCAAGAGCTTTGTCAAAGAACATGATAAGAGAGAATTCAAGCCCAAGGGTTGCTACTTTTGCAATGGGCCACATCGATGGAGAGAGTGCCCTAAGCGACAAGCCCTCAATGCCTTGATGGAGGAAAAGGAGAGTGCTCCCGAGCATGAGAAGCATTTGGGATCGGTTCGGCTTCTCAATGCTCGTAATGTTAAGCCCTCACCTAAGGTGCCACCAAAGGATGGGCTTATGTACGTGGATGTGGACGTGAATGGTAAGGCCGCGTTTGCCATGCTAGACACGGGAGCCACACATAATTTCATGGCCGAGGAGGAGGCTAAAAGACTTGGCTTGGTGGTGACCAATTCATCAAGTAGCATGAAGACCGTGAATGCTTCTCCTAAGCCTACTTATGGCGTAGCGTATGAGGTAAAGCTTGGTATAGGTGCATGGAAAGGGACGCTAGATTTCACCATTATCACAATGGACGACGTCAAGGTTGTGCTAGGCATGGAGTTCTTTAAACAAGCGAAAGTCATGCCTACACCTCACTTGGAGCAAATGGTGATCATGAAAGAAGAAATGCCATGCATGGTGCCGCCAAGGTGCACGCTAGATCGAACTTGAAGCATCTATCGGCTATGCAAGTAAAGAAAGGCTTCAAGAGAGGAGAAGTCACATACTTGGCAACTTTAAGAGAAGATGGGATGGTGGAAGATGAGAGCATGGAGATACCCAAGGAGATTGCCAATGTATTGGCCGAATTTGATGATGTGATGCCACTAGAGTTACCCAAAAAGTTGCCACCTAAAAGAGAAATCGATCACCAAATAGAATTGGTGTCGGGTGCCAAACCGCCGGCCATGGCACCTTATCGAATGGCCCCGCCCGAGTTGGAGGAATTAAGGAAGCGAGTTGAAGGCCATGTTGGAGGCCGGACAAATACAACCCTCCAAGTCACCTTATGGCTCGCCCGTGTTGTTCCAAAAGAAGCACGATGGGTCGTTGAGAATGTGCGTGGACTATCGGGCATTAAACAAGGTCACGGTGAAAAATAAGTATCCAATCCCATTGATAGCGGACTTGTTTGATCGGTTAGGAAAAGCTCGGTTCTACACCAAACTTGATTTGAGATCGAGGTATTATCAAGTTCGAATTGCCACCGAAGATGTGCCAAAGACAAGCATGCGTGACAAGGTATGGTTCCTATGAATTCCTTGTTATGCCATTTGGCTTGACTAACGCCCCGCTACCTTCTCGCACCTTAATGACTAAGGTATTTCAACCATACTTGGATCAGCTTGTAGTGGTATATCTTGATGATATCGTGGTTTATAGCTCTACATTAGAGGAGTATCTAGACCACCTACGTACCGTATTCAAGGTACTAAGGGAAAATGAGTTGTATGTCAAAAGGGAGAAGTGCTCCTTTGCAAAAGAAGAAGTACTCTTCCTAGGACATAAGATTAAGGGGGAAGGTTGATGATGGATGAAGCCAAAGTCAAAGCTATCTCGAAATGGGAAGAGCCAACCAAGGTACTCGAGCTTCGCTCTTTTCTTGGATTAGTCAATTACTATCGACGTTTCATCCGTGACTACTCGAGAAGGCGGCCCCTCTCACCGACTTGTTGAAGAAAAACAAGAGATGGGAGTGGAGTGACCAATGCCAAAAGGCTTTCAAAGAGTTAAAGCAAGCTCGTTATCGAGGAGCCGGTGTTGAGCTTGGCCGACCCAACCAAGCCTTATGAAGTACACACCGATGCTTCGATTTTGCTATAGGTGGTGTATTGATGCAGGAACAACATCCTATAGCTTACGAGAGTCGAAAGCTAAATGACACCGAACGACGATATTCGGTGCAAGAGAAGGAGATGACCGCAAGTGGTGCATTGCTTGCGTACTTGGAGATACTACTTGCTCGGGTCTCGATTTGTGGTGAAGACGGACAACGTAGCCACTAACTCGCTTTCAAACTCAAAAGAAGTTGACGCCAAAGCAAGCTCGATGGCAAGACTTTCTTGTCGAATTTGATTATATCTTTGAGTACAAGCCGGATAAGACCAATGTGGTGGCCGATGCACTTAGTAGAAAGGCCGAGTTGCATCACATATCGAAGGTCGATGGGGAGATCATGGCCAAAATCAAGGAAGGAGTGGAGCATGATCCCATTGCCAAGAGCTTGTCGAGCCTTGCAAAGGAGGGCAAGACTCGAAAATTTTAGGAGGAGAATGGCATTCTCTACACGAAGGGAATGAGGATTTATATACCTAAGTGGGGAAACCTCCGACGAGATTTGATGAAGGAATGCCATGACTCGACGTGGGCCGGACATCCGGGACAACAACGCATTAGAGCCTCACTGGAGGGGGCATACTTTTGGCCACGGTTGCACGATGATGTGGAGTCCTATGTGAGGACATGTTTGGTGTGCCAGCAAGACAACGTTGAAAATCGAGCACCCGGAGGTCTATTGCAACCTTTGCCTATCGCGGAGAGACCATGGGAGACAATCACCATGGATTACATAGTGGCTTTGTCGAAATCGGAGAACTTTGGGAGCATTATCGTGGTTGTGGACAAGTTCTCCAAGTATGCCGCTTTCATACCAGCCCTAGCGGATGTGACGGCCGAGAACACCGCTAAGCTACTCTTCAAGCATGTGGTGAAGTATTGGGGCGTGCCGCGACATATCATCGGTGATCGAGATCCTCGATTCATCGGGAAGCTATGGACGGAGTTATTTGAGTTGCTAGGCTCGAAGCTCCATTACTCCACAAGTTTTCACCCTCGGACGGATGGGCAAACCGAGAGGGTTAATGCCTTGTTGGAGACATACTCGAGGCACTTTGTGAGTGCCAACCAGCGAGATTGGGCTAAGTTGCTAGATGTTGCCCAATTCTCTTACAACTTACAAAAGAGTGAGTCTACCGGCAAGAGTCCATTTGAGATTGTGACGGGCCGGCAGCCTCTCGTTCCACATACGATGGTGCTTGGTGACAAGTACCAAGGAAGCAGCCCAAGTGCATATTTGTTAGCTAAAGAATGACAGGAGCGAGCGGACTTGACGCGAGTGTATTTGAACAAGGCCGCAAGAAGATAAAGAAATGGGCCGACAAGAGACGAAGAGATGTCACCTTCCAACCCGGTGACAAGGTGATGCCGAAGTTGCTACCACAAGCAATATAAGGCATTTCGAAAGGTGCACAAAGGCCTCATACGACGATATGAAGGACCATTTGAAGTAGTGCACAAGGTGGGAGAGGTGTTCTATCGCTTAGAGTTGCCACCAAAGTCGAAGATCCATCCGGTATTTCATGTTAGTATGCTAAAACCATACCATGCGGACGAGGAGGATCCAAGCCGAGGAGTTTCTTATAGGGCACCTACGGCGGTGGTGAACTCGTATGACAAAGAAGTTGATGTCATACTTGATGACCGCATAGTTAGACGCCGTGGAGTGCCACCAAGGAAGGAGTACTACGTAAAATGGATGGGATTACCCGATAGCGAGGCTAGTTGGGAACCCGCTGAAGCCTTGTGGCAATTCGCACGGAAGGTCGAAGAATATAATGAAGGCGCGCCGAGGACGTCGCCGAATTAGGTGGGGGAGAGTGTTACGCTCCGCCTAAAAGAGGAATTTTTCTAGAAATTCTAGAGAACACAAGACAAGTCCGGAAGCTTCAGAAGAGTATGGAACAATGGAGAAGCCTCCAGATAAGTCCGGAAGCTTCGGAAGAGCATGGAACAATGGAGAAGCCTCTAGATAAGTCCGGAAGCTTCAGAAGAATATGGAGCATTGGAGAAGTCTCTAGTATGATCTAGAGAATTCTAGAGAGTCCCTCACTAATCTAACATGTGAATATCTAGATAGTTCCATGTAAATATCTAGGTAGGATATTTCTAGAGAACTAATTGTAGCCATTAGATTAAATAGATCCTAGCCATCCATCGAGGAGGTGGAAGGCTATAAATAGGTGAGGCCTTCACTTGGCCAAGACACCTAGACATTCATAAACTTAAGAGAGCGTGTCTTTAGAGTTGTAAGCTTTTAGAAAGCAATACAAAGAGTATTTTATATCTCTTGTGTGTGTCTTTCTTGCTTAGCAACTTTGTATGAGGAAGGTTGACTTGGTTTGTCTTAGAGAAGAAGAGAGCCGAGTGCCGCACATGAGCTTGGGAAAGGCCAAGTTCGTGACATTTCGCTTTGCTTTCTTTTTAGGATCGCCCTCCCTGTGCCGATAGAATAAGGGCCGGCCTTTCCTCTCCATATGCTTCGGATATGGAAATTCATCCCGTACTCGGACCAAAAGTCTCCTATTATTCTTTTAGCTAGATCCCTAATCATTGATTTGTGCACCTTCTCTTTAGTTAGCTTCGTGGGAATCCCGATCTCTTTCTTGAGCTTCCGGCCCTCCTCCCGATTCCGTGGCACCTTTATCCAGCCTAAGCCCTCTTCGGTCGCCTGCCGAAGCCTCTAAGAATCTCATTCAAAGAAGGCCTCCGGTTGCCAACTTACTCATTTCGTCATACCTTCATGGATTTTATAGAGTTGCTCGCTAAAGAGGGTATAGACACTCGTAGTGTTGGACGGGTTTTAAAAAGTATGCACCGTCGTTTGTTTTCCCAATGACTTCCGTTGTCAATTGTGGTTATTTGATTTGATTTCTCATTCTTTATGACACATTTTGTTTCTATATACCATACCCAATGCAGAAGAATACAAAACATAAATGAAAAAATATTTTTTAAATACATTTAAATTGTAAAAAAACATACTCGAAGTAAGTAGATTGTAATAAAAATGATTATAAAATTAATTTTAATATATTTAGATTATATAAAAAAAATAAAACATTTGAATTTTAATTTTTAATCGATTATTTATTTAAAAAAACTTATTCAAAAACTCTTATATAGAAAAAATAAATCATATTTATTAATAAATAAAATTACATTAAAAAAATAAAAATAATTTTTTTAAAAAAATAAATTGAAGAGATGAATTTTAATTAATAAATATTATGTTTTTTCTTTTAATTATAAAAATTAATGACTAACTTAAAAAAAAATACAAAAAATTTGATTAAAAATTATGAAATTAGATGATTTTTTTATCTGTAATTTTATATCTTTTAATTGATTAACAATATAATATTTATTATTAAATTAAAATAAATATATTTTGTTTAATCGTAATACAGCATGAAAAGCCTATTAAAAGCCGATTAGTATAAATGAAAAGGCTTGAGCAGTTAAAAAATCATGAAAAAGTCAAAGTGCTAACAAATGCAGACCACAAATAACATTGAAACCACGGTTCTTGCGAAGTCGAGAAACCAGAGCTTTGATTTTTTTTCCACCTTTCCCTTGTTTGCTTTTTTTTTTTTTATAAGTGTCTTAGCACACACAATTTTTTTCGGTATTTTTGTTTTACTAATACGAGATGGTACATTTTTTATAATTATGGAAAAATGTCAGAGTTTAGCTTGAATAATGAATAGGTTTGCTACTCACATTTGTATTTAGAATTCAAATATTAAAACCAGTGTAAAGAGAAACGTTTTACAATAATATTAATTCTAGCACATGTCAGAAATTTTAAAATATTAAAAAATAATTAATAATATTTATTTTATGAATTTATTTTGTGAAGAGAAACAAATAAAAAAAATCGCATTTGTACTTACTAAAAGTAAAAATATTTCTACATGCTTCTGATTTTTTTCTTCCCTGTTTCTCTTTACTTTTAATGTCTATTTTTCTTTTATACAAATAAATATTAACAAGATTTCTCAATACATATAACTTAGTTAAAAGCTGACCAAAAAAATTTAATCTCGACGCATCAAAGTTAGTACTAAAACAATAAAATTCCTCGATACATACAGCTTAGTTAAAAGCTATCAAAAAGAATTTAATCTGGACGCATCGAAGTTGGTATTAGACTACTTTTATCATTTTAAAAAAAAATTATGCAAAGATTATACCATTTATTGCAAATTGAAGAAGCTAATTAAAAACATTCTGAATGCCAACAGAATTATTATTTAATATCAACAAATTTTTTCAATATAAAGAGGCTATCCTCTAGATAATAATAAAAAAATAAATAAATAAACCGAATGCTAAATTTCTTTTATAAAAAATCCCTGAAGATTCAGTAGATGAATGACAATTCAGTTGAATTTGATGAAAGCCCTTAGAGATCGATGGACATACCATGGATTAAAAAAAGAAAAAAAAGTACCATTCTACAGGGTGCGTGATCTTTTAGGGGAAATGATGTCTGCACTGTCCAAAATCATATATATCTGACACGTCTCTCTGAATGATTAACCTGAAACTGTATGGTGATCCCTTCATAAAGAAAACGTGGCATTGACTATTTTAAAAAAGAAATTTTGTTCAATAATATACTCGACAAGACTTGAGTCCACGTAAGAGTTTTTCAGATATTTGCCGAAGTGAAAGGTTTAAATATTATCAACTCGATAAAACAAAATTAAGAAAAGGTTTAATAACGCCTAAAAAAAAAGTAAAGTAATAGCACGCGTCCTCCACATACCCTTGTGGGTAAGTGGCAATATCATAGATTAGGTTCAGTGCCTTGTCCTGCCCAAGTTCTAGCATCTAAAACCTAACACGTAGACATGCTTGTATGGCAGCGACTGCACTTCGACAATTAGGTGTTTAATTTTCACGGAAAACTTTACATAAATTTATTAAGAAAATTATTAACTAACGTGGCGAGTATCATGATACAATTAGGTGTTTAACAATTTCGGTAATATTAGAGTGACCATCTAAAAAAAGTTAATAAAATTATTTAAAAATATTACATCGACACCAAAAACATATATTTAAGATTGCTATATTAATAAATTAGTCTCAATTAATGTATAAATTAATTAAAAGATACTTTTTCTTTATAAAAAAAATACAATTACGTAATTATCTACACATTCTTATTTTTATTCAAGGATATTTTGTGCTGTCAAACTAAAATATATATACATATACAATCAGAATTAAAATTTAAAAATTAATCAAATTCACATTGATGGGACAGGAAAATTTTTTTGTTGGATCTAAAATGGGATACAGAAAACGAAACAAAGGATGAAATAATCAATGAGTGCCATCGGCCCACAGTTTAAAAAAAAAAAAATTGTTACAAATCCATTAATTAAAACTAGTTTGCTGCACTATAGTAAGGATCGAACATAATCAAATTATTTTAATTTAATATTCTATAATATATTGTAGATTTTTTAATATATATATATAATCAAATTTAATAACTTTTATTGAAAATTTTGTATTTGATTAATTATTTCTTATATTTTCATAAATTTTTAATGGAAAAAAACATAATTAGTTATTTTGCATGTATTGATTTTAAATAAAAACCTGAAACAATATAAATGTTTTTTTCCATTAGATTGTATATAAAAAAATATATAGCTACAATACATATAAAAAATTATTTAAAAATTAACAAATAACAAATTAATTTTTTTTTATCATATTTTTTCATCACCAGACTATATGAATAAAACGTTATTTTTTCATTAATTTTGCACAAAATTAATAATAAAAAACAATAAAAAAAATTACTGAAAAAAAAAACCCAGGCCTAAGCCTCAAGGCCTGCAAGGTTGGCCCAGTTGGCATGCCCTGGCCATATTAAAAAAAAAAAAAAAAAAAAAGACTACGCCATGTCTTCTTCCACATAGAAGACGACGCGTCGGTCCTTTCCACAATAAAAAACAAAGGACAAAGTGTGGTCTGCTTCAACATAGCAAATGACACGTCGCCTACATCTAAATTAGATAACCAGTAAAAACCTCAAATTTTGTAGCATTTTACTTAATTCACACCTTTTTTTATTTGCAATTAATTACATATTAACCATTTTTAATGTGTACTTAGTACAATTGTCTAGTCTAAGTCACTTAAGTGGCAGTTTCTTTGGGAATAAGGGGAGCTGACTGAGAGATGAAAAGTTTCAACTTTTTTGATGAATGATGAAATAGAACAATTCAACAAAACTTGCACTTGGCCACCCATCGATTAGAAACCTTTCACCGCCACTACATATTTGTCCCACTCTCAACGATATTCAACCCATATCTCATGTCAATCGACAAGGATCGAAAGTGTGATTCCTTTGATTCTTTCAGATAACATATAGCATTAATGGAAACATGCATGTCAATGTTTATTAGCTTATTCCGTAGTGGAAATCTTTTCTGTTACCCAATGCGATCGACCTGTCTTAATTGAAAATAATATAATGAAAAGCTTAACGCAATGGAATTTTGATCTCATTTAATTCAAAATGAGTTGTTAATTGTTGTTTAGTAAGGGGGCAACACCTTTTACATAAACCCGGAAGCAGAGCCTCCGAAATATTTACAATATACTGAGCCACTATATATTCAGTTATGTATTTTGAATTAGGTATATATATAGACACGCTAGGTTTTTTAAAACTCTAGTTGTCAACATCTTTTATATTTAATACCGTTAATTGAAAACAATAATAAAAACTTCTAGTGTAGCCGTAGAGAATAGACACTTATTGAATCATATAAATTTTTATACTTGTACGATTGTTTTTTTCTTCTATTTTTTAGTTGTTTCGTTTCTTAACAATAATTTTATTAAAATTCCATGATGATACATAAAAAATCTAATATAACAAGCCATCCAATCCAATAAAAAAAACATTTACCTAAAATTATATGATATTAGTTCCTAAGAAGTTGACATAAAAATTCATTTCCGATTTAGTGGTTGTCCCATGTTAGTAATGCTATTGATCATTATGAAGACCAACCTCTTAGTAGAATATATGTTATTATCTTACAATAGAACAAGAATATGTAACTAATTTATTCGTTAATTTTATATCCTAAACCTTATTGCTGTTAACTTTTTTTTTTTCCCGATAAGTTCATTGATATTCATTAGTTGTTATCAACACCATGAATCTATACCTACCATGTTTTTTTTTTAAAAAAAAATCTATACCTACCGGGTTTAGGTTCACTAATATTACTTTATATTGTACAAAAAATGTTATATTACTGACTGATCAATCAAAAACTCAATAATGGAAACTAGAAAGCTATGTTCATGAATCAATACAGTACATGTGTTAATTAAAGAAACCCTAGAAAGACAAATGAGAAAAATAAAAATGTGTCCATAGGTAGATACAGGATGAGTGATCATGGCACTGCCAAAGTGAAATAAAGCAGATAAAGCTATTAGCCCGTGCTTCCTGCTCCTTGTCCTCACCTGATCTGCTCCTAGTGGTCAGGCCGTGTGGCTGGCACTGGTGCGTTTACACCTGGACCGGTTAATGGAATACGGAATACCTTATCTGATTCTGATTGATTCTCTACTTTTGGTGCCAGTTTTTGTCATTCCCTAGCGAGGTGCGTGTGGTTGGCACATGAAAGAAGAATCAAGAGCGAATCTTTGATTTAGACCCCGAATTAATTACAATATACGTATCCCAATCGAGTCTCCGAGAAAAAAAAGTGTTCTCAGTTAGGTTCTCAAATTCTCAAGTTTGCTTCTTCGTCCATAATCTTTTATGGATTCTGTCTAAAGTGCATGTTCGATAGAATAAAATGATGTTTTGAAGGAATTTTGTTTTTTTCTTCTTACTGAAAAGTTAATGATGATTTAAATGGATGGATATTATTGAGATTTTCTGAATTTCTCGATCTAATTTAAAAACCCATTTTCTTTAAGACTCAATTGAAATTCACTGTATGGTTGGAAACTAATTAATATAAGGTTTGTCCAACAATAAAAAGGGGGAAGATTATTAATATATCATTACAACAAAAGCAAATGGCTGTATAAGAAAGAAATATTTATCGCTACCACTTTGCAGGATATATTCCATGCATGGTGCATGCACGATCGGTTTGAGTAGAGATGTGTACTCATTAATCCAGTTATCCAGATTGTGTTTTTTTTAGCCAGTACCACCACGCTTATAGGATGCATACAAGACTGAGTTTTTATTCATTTCCATTTTTGGCTTGGCAAGAAGAAAAGGAAAAGTTACTGTTGATCGTTTCGTGTTACTACTTATAACTTGGTCACGGTTAACTCTTTCGAAGAAATCAATAGTGGCCTAGTGGTTTTGTCTAGTGGGCTGAGCTTACGTTATCCAACCCCCCACTTTTCAGATCCAACCAAGATTTGTCTTGATCCAAGTTTTGCATGCGTTTGTATGAATGTATTGTAATATTTTGCAGCAACGGAACCTCAGAGTTAATCTTTTCCTTTTAAAACGAGGAGACGAGTTGAGCCCTGACTGTATGTATAGATTGAAGGGGCCATCATACAAATTTTCAATAGCTTGCAAGCTAAGTTAAACCGATGGGCATAAACTAGTTAGCATGCTTAATTAAGCAGTCCTGGTTATTGTTAAGAGTATTAACCCACATTTTTAAAATAAATTTTGGCCTAATTTATGATGTCAAGAATCTCATCCACCTACTGATTGTTCTCCACTAGCATCGGTTTAGGAGATTCTGAAGAAAGAACATACATTAGCTGAAATAATATAATTAGTACTCTTACATGCTAATTAAGATCTTCTGTTCATCTTCGAGACAAATAATATAGTGATGCGGTAGCCATGACCAACAGTACTCTCCGCGGCCCTTCAAGTGTATCATTCCCAATTACTCGCTACAAAAACCATTGACTTTAGTGATGACCAAAATTAGCGGCCAAAAAAACTTCGATTGGCAAAAAGTTTGGGCAAGGTAAAAAGCATGGTAACAATTTCGTTGTCTATGTGCAGCTTCCACTATAAGACAAAATCCCATAAAAAATTATTACTACACAATTTCGACCCACCAAAATCATACCAATATCCAAAATTATCTATCTATAACCATCATGTACTTAGATTAAAGGAATGTTGTTCTATTCTTTTCCTTTTTATTTAATCTCTACTAGATTTTTTACATGCACAATACTACGAATTGAATAAAATATATAAAAAAAATTTAAAAATTATTTCATTTTGAAATTCTTTGTTATATTATGCGTCTATTAAAATACATCAAATTTTATATTTGATTGATTATGTTTTATATTTTTCATAAATTTTTTATCAAAAAAATTATTTAATAATATAAAGAATGTCAAAGCCAATGAATTCTTAGCTAAAATTTTATTTTATAATTTTTTAATATTTTTTTGCCTTATAATTTTTTATTAAAAAAATCAGAGAAAAAAAAGATCAAAATGAGCAAAAAAAAAAAAAAAAAAGATCGAAACAAAACAAAAAGTATTTAAGGATTGAAAAAAAAAACATATTTAAAAAAAAAGATCAACGTGTAATGTTACGAAAACTTTCATAATAAATATATTTAAAATATTTAAAAATTAAAAAATATTATTATATAATAAAAGAATAATATAAGAATCTGAATAAATAGTAAAATAAGTTTTAATAAATAATATTTTAAATAGTAAATTAATTTTAATTTTATCTATAATTTTTTATGGTTTTGCAATCATTGTGCATCTTTTAAGCCCATCGATACCGAGGCGTGAGTCCTTGTTGCGCACCAAAAATCCGTGTGCAAGAGTAATTTGTAACAGAACGAGACAATCAATAACAAAGAATATGATAAAATAAGTGAAAGGAAGGCGGTATTGGCATAACCTGTTAGTCTAGTGTAAAAACATAATCAGATTTTTGTTGCTTAAATGACCAAAATGACCATCTATCTTCTTTAATAATTTGTCTAAAAATTCAAAAGTCAGTAGTTCGACGAACACACCTCCGGCCAAATGATCTTCGTGGATTCACTACTCTCCTTACATAACAGCCACTACAAAATACAAATAATTAACCAAAAAAAAAAAAATTCCATCACAAATAGCCACATCCTTCCTCCTGAAAATTAAATTCATATTTTACTGTAACGCATTTTAGGGATATATGATAGATAAAGTGTGAATCTCAAAAACACATATCTATCCAATTGTTTTTTTTATCTGTTTTATTTAATTTAACAAAGTCAATAACCATAATTAATCTGGCAAATTGATAATAGAATTTTTTTTGTTATAATACTAGTGATGGTCTTTTTCAAATCTTATTGTCCGCGCTTTCATTTTCAATAGTAGAAATTAACATTTTTTATTTTTTTATAAATGGATGAAAACACATAATCCAAATAATTAGTTTATCCATTTTTCTTGATTTTTATGCTTGATTGGCGTGTGCTTATTTTCTTCTCCACACCATAAATAAGGGATTGCCTTCATCGAGAAAATCGTTTTCTCTTATTGTCCGCGCTTTCATTTTCAATAGCTCACGAATGCTTCAATCTATTTGTACAAGGCCTTGATATTTGACATGCACACGCTTCGATTAAGACTCTCATTGATTGTGATTTCTGGTGGGCTAAATTGTCCGAACATTATTTGAAAATTCATTTACTAATTTCTAATTTTGAATTGAATATTTTTTATTTGAAATTGACTTTTTCACTTAAGTGTTTATAAATTCTAACATGTAAGTGTAATTTCTCAACAACTAAAAATATATATAAAAAACTTATAGATATTTTATTTTTTCATTTTAAAATTTATTTCTTCTCTCCTAAATGCTAAAAATAAATAATTAAAGAATATTTTAAAATATAAAACATATTTAAAAAAAACATTCATAAGTTTTAATATATGTTTAACCGTTGAAAAAGTTTTTAAAAAAAAACCACGAAATATGAATTATATATTAAAATGGTATGTATTTTCATAAGTATTTATAAATTAGTAATTTTTGTTTTGAAAAATGATTTAATTGGTTTTTTTATTGCACAAAATAATTATTTTATCTTCATATTTTTAATTTTTTTTATAACTTAATTATTTTCGTTCCTTTTCAATATATTTTGGTTTTTTATTTTAAAAAATAAAAAATAAGTAAAATTTTTTTAAAAGATAATATTAAATTAAATATGACACTTTATGAAATAAAATAATATTAAATAAAATATATTCAATATTTGTTAAAGAAATAAATAATTAGTTTTTGAAACAAGAAGCATTAATCAATTAATTTCTCAAAAATAAAGAGAGTAATTTATAATTTACTCAGTGTTTTCACTCAGTTTTTTTTTTTTTTTTTTATCATTTCTGTAAAGAAAAAGGCCCCATTGTTTCTTTTCCTGCAAAAACAATATTTATTTCTTACAATATATAGAATTAATCAATCCCAGTAGTTCTCTTAATAGCTAATAGCTTTAGGTGCCTAGTTTCAGTCTCCGCGTTTTTACCTCATGTTCTTTTCATTTTTGAGTTTTGAATAGCTGCTATATATATATATATATAAAGGGTCGGCCTGTGTTCCCCACACGCCAATATGCTAGTGCTTAGCGCCAAACCATGGCCCTACATGCAAGTGTTTTTTATTCTTTTTTCTTGTCATCCAAATTTGTAATTTTATCTCGACTTTCTCAGCCATCAACATCTGCACCAGTCTTGTGCCTAACACACGCCAATTACAATCTTGTGAAGCTGACTGATCTTTCAACACTTGCTTTCTTAATTAATCTGGATATCGGATTTATTTGCTCAAGAGAGAGGTTCGAAATGGAATCGATACCTTTCGGGAGAGGGATCATCCTGATCCGATCATGAATAACAACAGTAAACCACCAGCTCATTGACTGGCAAGTGTTAACAGAATTAATGATCATGCTAAGGCTAGCAAATGAATTAGCATCAGCCTTTTGACCAGCCATTCCAGGGTACTGAATTGGCGAACCCAACCTTTTCTTTTGCCCAAACATCAGCAGCACACGTATGATTTAATTAGAGGTGGACCCAATTTCAAGGAATAAAGGAGCTTTTACTTGGAATGGAATCTAGGAGAAGCTAGCCTAGCTAATAACTTGTGTATTAGAGAGTAGAGACACCCTCATTAATTCACGTTCTAAGCTCTATATCTTCTATATATATTGCACCATTCTCACCATTAACATCTCATCACTTCATTGCCAAACAAGAGAATTGCATAACTCAGACAATGTCAGAAAACGGTTACACTGACCTAGAGAAGCAGAAATATTTGCTTCTCGAAGAGCATGAAGAGAAGCATTTCATGTCTAGTGAGATTGTACGTGACATAATCTTAGGCGTATCTGACGGTCTCACGGTGCCTTTTGCCCTCGCAGCTGGATTGTCCGGTGCCAATGTGACATCCAGCATCATTCTTATTGCCGGCATTGCTGAAGTTGCTGCTGGTGCCATCTCCATGGGACTTGGCGGGTAATATTAACATTTATAATCAAGCCACTCTCTCAGACTAGCTATATGAGTTTAGATTATCCACAGCTTGTTAATTACAGATTATGCAAAGCATGAACAATTGTTAAATCATTCCGTAATGATTGGTGCAGGTACCTTGCAGCTAAAAGTGAAGCTGACCACTACATGAGGGAACTAAAACGAGAGCAAGAAGAGATCATCAGAGTCCCCGATATAGGTTTTAAACCCTCCAACATTTTTTAGTTTTGTCATAAATTCACAATCTTTCTTTTTTCCTCATATATGTAGCAAAATGCTATAGTAACTCATATATATTTAACGGGACTAATAATCTTATACAACAGAGGCTGCTGAATGCGGAGAAATATTATCACAGTACGGTGTTGAGCCTCACGAATATGAGCCTGTCGTGAATGCTCTGAGGAGGAACCCCCAACACTGGGTTGATTTCATGATGAAGTAAGAAATCTTGTTATGACCTTTTCTTTTCTTTTCTTTTTTCCTCTTGGATTGACAAATAACACGACATTTAGATCATATTGTCTAGCTAATACATTAATGTTGTTGCAGGTTTGAACTTGGATTGGAGAAACCAGACCCAATGAGAGCACTACAAAGTGCCTTGACAATTGCTCTTTCTTACACAGTGGGTGGATTGGTACCCCTGGCACCATACATGGCCATTCCACTTGCTAAAGAAGCTGTAGTTGCATCTGTTATAATAACCATAGTGGCATTACTAATTTTTGGGTTCATAAAGGGCTACTTCACTGGTAATAAACCTTTCAAGAGTGCTATCCAAACTGCTTTCATAGGAGCCATGGCGTCTGCAGCTGCTTATTGCATAGCTAAGGTTTTCCGAGCTTGATTTCTACTTCTTTTAATTGTTCACTCCCTCATCTTGATCAGTAGTACTTCTAGCTGCATGCGCTGCCTAGTGCCTTGTATTAATTAATTAGCCTATCGTCCCGTCGCTTTGTATCTATTCCCTGCAATTAATTATGATAGTATTTATATTGGGTTTTTCCTTTTCTATATATTCTCAAGGATGAGCAAATGTCAATTTTATTTTTAACTAGCAAAATCGATCTCAGCAGCCTCCAGAGTCCAGATAAAAAAAAGGTTCAATTAGTCCTACTGTACTCTTCCTGCAAAGTAAAGCGGTTTAAGAGAAAAAATAATAATAATTTTCGGGGAGATTGGGAAAGTTCAAAAGATAAAAAAATATATATATATAGTCAGAAGTGTGAAAGGAAAAAATGATTTTCAATTTTGTTTTTTTTTTTTGTGGAATATTAAGCAATGTCAATTTAAACCGCACGTCGGGCCAAATCGTACTTGGATTGCGCAGCAATTGTCCAGCGACGTGTCGTTTTCCATGCAGCCAAAGAAACAAAACAAACCATAGGCCCAAGACAGTGGGCAACGTCAACAGCTTGCATGTTTCCAGCCACCCCAACGCAGCAGCCTGCTGCTAGAAATGGCTGCCCCTGCCCAATATTCATTTATTCCCGAAATGCTCCTAAGGTCCCTAAGAGTCATATCCTCTTTAGACTCAGTTTGTTTTTAGACTCCGTTCTATACATCTTTGTATTGTTTGGCAAATTTAACACAAATATCCTTCCTAAAATTTGATTTGAACTCCTCTAAAGTCTAAACGGACACGTCCATCCACATGTTGTATATTTAGTTTGTCAATTTCGGTGGGCTCAGAGCTTTAGGTCACATGCTCACATCCATCCACTCGTCCCAACTGGATCCCTGAATCTATGAATCTACAAATTGATGATTACTTAAAAAGAACAACTACATAACAAGAATAACAGGGATGTTTGCTATTTGATAAGAATCGAATAATCGAATAAAGCATATCTAAATATCAATTTTAATATATATTTGTTTAAAAAAATTAAAATAAAAACCGAATCAAAATAATTATTTTTAAAAAAATCAGTTAATCAAAAAACTAAAATTATATATATATCTTTTTTTTTTAAAGTTAGATCACTCAGTTTTTTTTTAAATTAAAAAACTCTTTTTCCTTATATGCACTTCCTCTACAGCTTCATTCGCGCTCATTTGACCTTTGCTATAATTATAGATGTACACAAAATAGTAAAGATGTTGATAGATTCTATCGTCTCAAATTCAAGTCTTATTGAATAAATAATTTATTATTCGTTTATCTATAAATACATTTATTATTTTTTGAGGTGTAATTTAGTTTTCTAATTAGTAGTCCACAAAATAGAAAGAAACTTACTCTAAATGGAGATTTCAAGAACTTTAATAGAATCAACCATTTGTAGGAAAAATAAAATAAAATGAGTAAAAATCGAATTATCAAACATTGAAATCAAAATATTTCAAAACCAAACCAAAAAATCGAATAACATTTTAGTTCGGTTTCAGTTTTTTTTTTTTTTTGAAAATTTGATTAATTGAAAACCATCAAAAATATTTCAAAACCAAATTGACTAAAAGAACGAACATTCCTAAAAACAACTACTACAAATCTATTTTCTTATAGCTGATGATAATTAATTTTGGCCAGACATAAGTGTGGTAGCGGCCCATGTGGTTGTATGTAGCTCTCAAATTCCCAATGTCATTTGCAGCTCACATTCGGTATCAGACCTTAGGGGTTAATGACATATTTTATTTCTGTACTTTTGATATATATTTTTTAATGGGGTTCTTTATTTTATTTTGTTCCTTGTATTTTAAATATTTTTTTAATGTGATTTCTCCAAGAAAATTTCGATCAATTTTCTTACAACAAATAAGTGTACTGCTATATTAAATGAAATAATTCGTGCCAAACAAATTTTAATTTTAAAAAATAATTTTTTTCGTCGTATGTCACTATGATCTGTCGTGATAGTCTATTTATCATTTATTGTTGAAAAATTAATTGAAATTCTATCGAAAATATAACATTAAGAAATATCTAAAATAAAAGGATCAAATAAATAACAATAAAAAAAATATAAGCTATATTAAGAAAATATCAAAAAAATATAAAGACAAAATATGCAATCAATTCTTATAAAAAGAGAAGGTTCTTAAGTTGATTGAAATGAAATGATAGCATAACCCATCTAATTACATGATAAAAAAAGAAAAAAAGAAAAAAAGCATCTAATTTAATTAAAAATTTGTTATTAATGGGTATCTCATGCTAAAATGTTTCTTTCTAGAGAGACAGGAAACTAATGCGCATCTGCTAAAAAAACAAAACAAAAAATGTTACTTCCTATATAAAATTGGTACGAATATGCAGATAGCAGATATAGATGGCATGAGGATCAGAGTGGATTTGTCCAAAATAGCGTGTTATGTGCAAAAACTACAACAAAAACAAAGTTACCTCGGCTTCGTATGGAATCTCCGCCACCACCCTACACCAGCATGAAAACAACACACCCACCTAGTTATATACCACCACCACATCCAGACGCCAATCTTCTATAATCAAAACGCTCCCTGGCTCTTCATTTCCCGTTAGGACTTTCGCTCTCCCTCTCTCTCTCTCAGTTAATATAAACGTAGTAATTGACAATATTCGAAAGGCCAAAGATACCCTAATGGCGACATTGACGCAAGGAATTAATCTAGAGCCTGAGAAACAGACCCTCCTGAATCAGCACAAAGAGAAGCACTTCACTGCCGGTGAGGTTGTTCGTGACATCATCATCGGTGTATCCGATGGTCTCACTGTTCCTTTTGCTCTCGCTGCCGGTTTGTCTGGAGCTAATGCTACGTCTTCCATCGTTCTCACCGCCGGCATCGCTGAAGTTGCTGCTGGCGCCATCTCCATGGGACTTGGAGGGTATTCATGTTCATCGTTAATCCTATTTGTTTGTCTTTAATTTTTCTTTAAAGACTTTCAAATTTGATCGATTTGCAGTTTCTTTCTGGGGTTTAAAGAAACACCACAAACCCGAGTCTGCTAATGATATATATGTTTAGCTAATACTTATATTGTGCAGGTATCTAGCGGCTAAAAGTGAGGCAGATCACTATGCAAGAGAGCTCAAGAGAGAGCAAGAAGAGATCATTAGTGTTCCTGATACAGGTTCTTTTTTTTTCTTTTCTTTTTTTCTTTCTCTTGTTCGATTTGATAACGATGAAGATTTTATTTCTCTTACCCGATCGAGTTCAATTTGATAATGATATATTAGTAATAAAGAGCAAGAGTAAATGGGTATTGTTTGGGACAAAATGCAGAGGCGGCTGAAGTGGCTGAGATACTGGCACAGTACGGAATAGAGCCGCATGAGTATGGGCCTGTGGTTAGTGCTCTAAGGAAGAAGCCTCAAGCCTGGCTTGATTTCATGATGAAGTAAGCTTCGTTTATTCTCAAATCTCTCTTGTTGGAACGTAATTCTGTACTTAATTAGAGTTACGGAGTGACATAATTTCAAAATGTTTTGCACCAATGTGTTGACAAGTTGAACAGTTGCTCCACTATCATATCATGATCATGACGAGCAGCATCAACAAAAAGCCAAATTCACTTTTAAAAGACGTTTCACTTTTCCAAATTACGACAAACCCTGAAGGTCCAGTACCCAGAGCACGGGTTACCTGCAAATTGCACCCTGATTTATATTATCCAGAATCACAAGATACCATAACTTTCTGACTACCTTGTACTATTCTTTTTTCCTTTCTATGTATTGAAAGGAAGTGGATGCTTGGTTTCCTTTTACTTGTTAGGTTTGATACGAATAATAGTGTTAGTTTTATACTTTCTTAAAGCTATCCAGCAGTTGTACCAGATGTGTCATTAGCAAAAGTGTAACACCAAGAATTACTGAAATGAAGGTTTATAATGGCTGACGTGGATACAGGTTTGAGCTAGGATTGGATAAGCCGGATCCAAGAAGAGCACTACACAGTGCACTGACTATTGCTATTGCTTACATTTTGGGTGGATTAGTACCCCTCATTCCTTACATGTTCATTCCAAGAGCTCAAGATGCTGTGATTGCTTCGGTTATCTTAACTTTGGCAGCCTTGCTAATCTTCGGATTTGCTAAGGGTTACTTCACTGGTAGTAAGCCCTTTAAAAATGCTTTGCAAACTGCCCTTATTGGTGCCATTGCATCTGCTGCAGCATTTGGGCTGGCTAAGGCTGTCCACCCATAATCCTCCTGGTTAGTATCGTGTAATCTCAGCAGTTTAAATAATTGCCCAAGGTTTTGCTCTTACTTCTTTGTTTCCCTGCTATGGTGATTGTATTCGTTTCAATATCATGAAGCTTTGACGGGTTTCTCCATACAATTGAGTTGCTTCTTTCTGCACCTTAAAAATGGTTGTTTTTATTGTCGACAAGGCCCAGGCACATTTTTTTCTTTTTTCTAAGAAAACTGTGTAAAACAGAAGAGTTTAAAATTGAGTGATAACATTTATCAGAGTCAAGCTCTGCCGGAGATGTGTGTTTCTTGTTTCACGGTAACCATACAATTTAAAACTTATTGCTTCATCAAAACACAATCATCACAAAATACATCAAATATTAAAATAGTAACTACAGCAGGTTTCACTCTTTTTCAAGTTCAGATTGATAGTGGCAATCGAGAGCCGTAGCTGTGCGACTACTCAAAATATCAAATGAGACTCTGAGAAGGAATGATGGATGTTTGGAGCCATGCGCAGAACTTCTATTAGTAACAAATTAAACCCAGCGAAACCTATGTTAAACTCATGACAATGGCATCTGCCTCTCCCTAAGATAGTGTTAATCATTTCTATAGCAAGACCTCTCAGCTTTCTATTGTCCTCGTGCAAAACGCAACCAAAACCATAAGAAAAGCCATTTACTAGGAAAATGCAGTTAGAAGAGCAAACTCATTTGGATATCAAAATAACCAAATGGATGGCTCGATCACAGTGCCCACTGCATATGTATAAATATATCTATATAAAATCGAATGCCTATTACATTTTAGGATACCGAATCTATTAAGTAATAGGCAATGACTATATATCATTGTTGAGCAAATAATGTGTGACGTCATTTTCAAGGAACAAAACACAGCCATGCAATTCCTCCCAGCAGGTGTAGAGAACACATGGTCGGTTGCCGCAAATCTATCAATCAACAAATAAAGAGGAATCAGCGTATAGGAATTGAACTTGCTGGCATGAACATGAAGCTCTGACTACTTTCAAAGACAATGCAATGTCAAAGCAGTAAGATTGCCTCTATTGTGAAGTAATAATAATAAAATAAATAAATAAATAAATAAAAATTGCAATGCATTGTGAGGGAAGATGAGACTAGAGAAAACCAACTTACATCGTTTAGTTAAAATTACCCATCCAAAATTCGTATAACTTTCTATGTAGTTTCATATCATACGGCATGTTAGTGGTTTGTCTCAGATGCCAAAAGACCCATCTGCTTAGTTAGAATCTCCAAGTTCTGAGGGTTCTCAAAGTGAGGTCCTTCATCAGTTGCTTTGTTCTCCAAGTTATGGGACTTCTCCATCTGTTCTATTGAACATTCAAGATTTTGAGATCTGTCCAGCTGTGTTCCAAGAACTGCTGTTCCTGTATCAGTTTCAGCATCAGTGGGTTCTTCAGAATCTGGTTTGGTATCTTTAATATTCTCAACAAAAGGATTAGCTAAAAGCAGCTTTTCCCAAGCACCATCATCCGCTAATTCTGGTAGAGCAAATGGGGCATGATTTTCAAAACCCAAATTATCATCCATAAGCAGTTCCATAAAATCTGGACTCACAAAAAAATCTTTCAACCCATCAGAAGATAGATTAGATTCTTGTGGATTTTCCAGACCAATTGCCGGTGCAAGTTCAGGCTCAAACATCTCGTCCACTGGTGGCTGGTACCTTACTATCATCCCCTCAGAAGCCAATGGATCAGCATCATCTGCACCCTGTTCCACTATGCTTCTTGGCTCAGCCATCCACCAATTATTTTCCTTTTTATGTAGTAGCTGAGCTAGAAACCCTGGGCTTTGCATTGCCATCACTAAGAAAGACAGCATCTGCTGCTGATTTTTTTCCATTCCTTGAAGGCGATCCCTCAACAGGAGCAACTTATTGTCTGCAGTTTCCTGGTGCTGCCTGAGCTTAACCAACTCCTGTGTAAGTGCACTTTTACCCGTCTTCAGGTTCTCAACTTCCTTCCAGAGATCTGCGTTTTCAACACTTTCGTGATGTTCAACGGAGTTGTCCTGCTGCTGCACTGATTTTCGAATGTCTGTGCCCTGAGAATTTTTCCTCCTGCAGATATTCTTTAACAAATTTTTCTGCCCTCTGATAAATCCATCATTTGCAAATTCCCAATGATCTGTATCAATTTTTCTAAATCCCTGAAACAAGTTTACGATAATTACATACTTGAATAAAGCATGCTATTTCACATTAAATGCATGCACCCACCACAGGGCATGGGGAAGGTTGGGGGGTTACATGTATGACAAGAACTACTTTACTCTTTACCATAAACCAGGGGCTGCACTGCACAATTTTTTCAGAAGAAATGACATCCGAAGTTACATATAATTTCTCAAAACCCTTAAGCTTCTTATACACATTATGCAAATTGTTTTTCAAGAACCAATTTTTCAAGGCCAAAGGCCTAAAAATATGCTAACTTCTTACAAATATCAAACAAGAGGATGGATGAACAAGGGAAAGCTATGGGAATATTGGTCAATTTTGCTTTACTTCATATTTCAAATAGTTCTAGATCATTAAGAAATTACAAAATATTATAAGACATGCATCAGTCTAATTGTTATCATTCTCATAGGAGCAGGTGAAGGCTATTTAGCATATTTTGCAATGGATTTTATAACTACAAGCAGAACTTTTACAAATAAAAAGATAACGCTATGCAATGTTTTAGCAAGAATCACTTTCGAATGAAGAATTAAAAGAACAACTTAGCAACTAGGTAATTCTGAACCGTTGCGCCCACTCTCTTGTTTTCTTAGTATGGTCAGATTTGAAGCAGGACCTTGTCAAATCTAACTCTTAAGACTGGAAAAGAAAACCAAATGAGTAAACCCTATAAATATGGAAGTAGAATCATCAAAATGTTATGCTCAAGAAAGGGAAATGTTTCGCATGTATGTGTGAAAAAACAGCAATCAATTAGAATTTCTTCTCTTACATGTGCATAGTTTGCTGACCTAATGAGCACTGAAAAGACGCACAGAGAACACCAAGGGAACAGTAATAGCTGAAACAATATCAGTCTTAACTTTAATCTATTGCCACTTGAACTCATATAACTCAGGTTAATGAGTCTATAGATTGCAATTCTAGGTAGAGCAGGGTTAATTGACTCTCATTTTTCCCATCCCATCATTTCCTACAACCTGTCTCCCCCCAATGCCCGCCCAAGTACATGAGAAAGAAAAAAAGAAGCACAAAAGAAAATGCTCATAAAGGACAACCTTCATATCAAATGAGAATTCAAGAGTTCACATCATCAGACAAGTAATGTATCAGGAAATACACTAAGGCTATAAAATTTGCAACAGCAAACTTTCAAGATAAATAGCACACAATAAGCGACTCGTAAGATCTTTATCAATCTTATTGGCCACACACCCCCAGGAATTGCTTCACTGCCACATGGGGACAACCTTGGCTGTATCCTCCCTCTATTATATGTCAATGATAATGTCTTCAAAGACAGTCTTACAGCGCAGAAGCAGGCCCTTGGTAATGATTCAAGGACATTGTTTTACACCCAACCAGCTAGCTAATAGCTATTAAGAAACCATATCTTGGTACTATATATCATATTTAATAATCTTAAGTGCTGATATTGCATTGTTCTTGAAATGCAGCGGATGAGTTCATATTGCATTTTGACAATATAGAAATGCACGTACAAGAATATCGTCTAGAAGCTAGCATATCTATAAATGGAGGGATTCCTTGTCTAGTATGTAAACCTACATTCGGAGATAATATCTTCCTCGGCACTATACTTCTATATTGCTGTTTAATATTCTGTATTTCACATCTTATTTCCATTGGAGCATAATTCAGTTAAACACTGCTTTGAAAATTCAAAAGATTGTTCATATCAAAAACAAGAAACTAACCCAGAATTTGAAAGATTGTTCATATCAATTTTTCAATTAAAAAAAAATTATAGCGACCACTTAGAATCAATCAATAAAAAACCCACAATTAACATCCAACCACAGAACCAAGCGAAAGAAAAACTGACCAATAAAAATATCAGGAAAGAAAGCAAGAAAAATTACATAGATATTGAGCTGCCTGACAAAACTAGAAGAATTGCTGTGCTTGAAGTACTTAGGCAACAAGTGAACAGAGAATCCAGTCATGTCCCAAATAACAAAGCTGTCATTGGTTTGGCTCCATGAGATTATTGAATTTGTTGACTCATCATCTACCATTTCATAGCATTTCTTCAAGAAAGGAGCCACCCCACCGTCGCTTGATTTCACCATTGCTGCAAAATACCAACAGATTTTTCTTTTTGGGTTCTGCAGAAGACTTTCTCCTCTGTCTGGATGGAAGAGTCAAGGCAACTATCTGAGACCCGAGTCCACTACAGGGGAAGGAAAGCAAAAGACAACAAGGGTATAAAAGGAATATTATATGACTGATTGTACGGAGCGGTATAGGTGTGGGATTCGTGTTGGGTTCTGTACTGGATTTGTCTGTCTGGCGAAGTTTTCTTGTAATTCGTGTTGGGGCTTGGCGCAGTGAGATCGTTTTTAGTACGTGGCTAGTTATTGTTTCACGTGTCATTGTAGAATTGGTTTTTATTCGTTGATATTTTTCTTTTCTTTTCTTTTCCTTTTTTTTTTTTGTTTTTCCTTTCTTTCAAAGTTAATGGGAAGCAAGTGAGAAGGAAGAGACATTCTAAAAGGAAAAAACGAAAGGGAAATTGAGCAAGAAACACCCGGACGCAGACACGTGCATTTTTTACCATTTGAGGGGGAAAAAATCAATCTAACTTGCAACTCATATTATCTTATTATCAATTTATTATTAATTGGGTTCGATTTTTTTTTCTATCAATTTTATTCTATATGTATTATCTTATTTATCAGTTGAGTCACAAATCTTTTATTTTATGAATATTAAAAGGTTTGATTAAAGTTTTACACAAAAAAAAGAAGAAAGAGAAAAACACTAAAACAAATTAGTCATTTTTTTTATATAGAAATAAAATAATATTTACGCATTTTAAAACTATTTTTTTCTTAATTGTCTATTTATTATTCTTAATCAAAAATGCTATTTTGAAACGACTTCCTTCTTTATTTTATTTTCAAATAATAAAATTTAATTAGGTACTTGTAAGAGACATGTAATACCATTTATAGTAGGAAAATCAAGAATTAAGAAGGAGAGCTGCCACTACAAATCCAGGACCGTATGAATTGATTGTAATTGGTGGAGGGCTTATGATGGCTACAGCCTAGGGACATGTTAGACAAGTTCCAACCAAGTAACAACATTTTCATAATAAACGAAGGAAATTTGGACATAAAAGATATCTTTCTAAATTTGGAGGATGTTTGTATCAACGTATCCTGAGATTGTTATCACTTAATTTGTAAGCTAGTAGGAATTACCTTCTTCTTCTTTTTTCTTTTTTTTTTTCCGAAAACACACTTGAACATTAATAATCAATGAGAAATTTTTGTTACTTTTTTTTTTTTTTAACTTTATTGCATTCTTCAATTTTTTTTTTTAAATTTATGCATCTAGGTTAGTTTTATATCTTAATCTCCTATGTCATTTAATCTCTTCTGTCATTTAACTTTTGGACTAATTGTGTTGATTTTTTTTTATCTTAATCATTTTTATACCAAATTTAAATAAATTAATTTAAAAAATTGGAAAAAAAAGATAAAGAGATATCTGATCATTCTCTTTAAAAATTGAAAATGAAAAAAAAAAACTAAAAATAAAAGTGAAGCTAAAAATATTTTTTATGTGTTTAAATTTATTTTTATGATAGTAAGTAAATTTTGAGTATCAAATAAAATATTTATATTTTTTTAATGTGAAAAGAATTTTAATTAAATTTTTAAACAATATTTATAATTTTATAATAACTCAAAAGAGTCTATCATAATTTACTTATTTTGATTTTATAAATTTTGATAGAAATTTTAGTCAAATTAAAAATTTTATCAGCGCTTCGATCCAACACTAACAAAAATTTATATTTCCACTTTTGTGTCAAATTAAAAAAAAAAAAAAGGGTTATAAAATCAAAATAAGTAAATTATAATACACTCGATTTGAGATATTATAAAATTATAAATAGCTTTAAAAGTTTAAAAAATTAAACTAAAATTCTCTTCGAATTTAAGTCTATAAAGGATATTTTGGATAAAAAAATATTTTAATTTTTACTTTTTTTCTATTTTTTATTTTCTGAAATTCATTTATTTAAATTTGATAGAGAAAAAATAAGATTAAAATAGAATAATAGAATAGAGAGATGAAACTAAAATTATACTAAGAAAAAAAGTTAACATTATTAGTTTCAAAATTAACGGTGAATGAGATTAAAACAAAAATTAAATGTAAATAGATAAACTTAAAACGAAAAAATAAAAATAAAAATACGTAAAATATAAAAGAAATAATAAAAAAGCTTTTGTAAACCATTAATCCAATAATAAATGTTTTTTAATATGTTTTGTGAATTTATATCCGTGTGAAATGTTTGCATCACCTGGTGAAGGACATTTCCTTTCCTGTCGATATTTTTGAAAATCATGAATTAATCCTAAATCGACACAGATTCGTGTTTTTACTGCTATTCTCTTCTTTACGCAGCACTCGCCTTGTCCAAGGACGGCCAGATCCGCAATTAATTAATTCGTGACAAAAGTACCAATAAGCTAGCTTTAAAATATACATAGGTAACATAGCATTCATTTTTTCTTTTTTTAATTTGATTAATTATACGCAAATGCGACAATTAGTTAATGAAGTGGTTTACTGTATGTGTGTGTGTATATATATATATATCCACTAGTGACTAGCTACTTTGTGCCTATAGATAGATAACAGCATTAATAGACAAACGGAGAAGCTTATGAATTTGGATTGCCTTTCATTCAAAAGGCTGGCGTGGAGGATAAAATCATATATGAAATAAATACCGCTTGAGTAAAATGATAAACTATTAAAAAACATTAAATAAATAAATAAATGAGAATATATGAATTCAAATCATATATGAAATACAGCTTGTGCAACACAATATATTATAAGGGTAAAACGAATTTTTTTTGATAAAACAAAATTTTATATTTTATCCATTGTGCCGAGTAAATTCTACAATGGCGTCACCCTGCAAATACCGCTGCGGCTATTCGATCGACGCATCTATTTCGTTAATTTATTTTTGATAGTTTTCACACGTGGCTATTTGCAATGTGTAGTTTTTTTTTCCCCTCGACTATTGATTTTCTATCAATCTAATGGTTGATCATCCTCCATAATATCTCATAATTTAACTTTATTTAATAATATCTAACATTGTATTCTTTTATTATATTTTTATTTCATCACCTCTAATATGGATCTGCCTCTATACTTACTCACCGTCATAGTTATTATTTTACCTTAATTGTTTTCATTGTTTTTTGTTTCAGAAATCAAAAGTATAAACAATGTCAATGTAAGGGATCCAACATGTAGACCTTCCCTATCTTCATGTATAAACAATGAGTGATTAATTAGTTTGGACATCTTTTTAGAAAAGGTAATTGTAGTACACTTCTAGCTGAAAATGCAAATTGACGGATTGGTGATTTGGAAATTTCCTCCTACGGGTTTGGAATTTGAATTGGATCCTCAAAGTTGATACCGCAATGCGTCCTAGATGCCATAGTTCTTTTAATTTCTTTTTCATTGTGAATAAAATAAAAGAAGAAATTAAGTTATTATTCTAAAATGGACTATTTAGAATTTTCAATAAGATGCTAAGATTGTTTCGAATCTCGCTAGTTGGTTTCTTATTGTCCAAAAATAGGGAAACGAAGAAATAAGTTATTATTCGAAAATAGACTATTTAGAATTTTCAATAAGACGTCAAAATTGTTTAGAATCTCACTAATCGATTTCTCGTGTTATGCAATAGACTGAACTAAATATGTTTATTTCAGTTTAGTTTATTTCAGTTTAGTAGCATGTACTATACTTGTCAGTTTACTAAAATATATTAAATTAAAAATAAAAGATAAAATTTTATATAATTTAATAATTTTTAATCAAATTTTGTATTTCATTTTTAGAAAAATTTTTCATATATTTTGTTGTTAAAAAAACACGATTCGTTTTTCAATATTCATCAATTATTAAATAAAAACCTATAATGATGTGAATAAAAAATTTAATATAAAATTTTAAAAAACATTCTAATATTTTTTTCATAAGATTGCATCGAAGAATTAAAACAACAATCAATATAAAAAAAACTTGTATAAAAAATAAATAACGAGCCTTTTTTAACTTTTTGAAAATATGTATATTTGATATACATGTATATACACAATACAATCAATAATATTAGTATAAAATGATGTATTTGAATTATTAGATGGTTATTCTAAAATATTATTTTAATTATTTTATTTAAAATAAATTAATTTTAGATTATTAAAATACTTAATAGCAAATATTTGGTGCTATGTGTGTAGATGCATAATTAATTTTCAATAAAATCAATAATCCCAATATTTTTAACCAAGTAATCACAATATTTTTTTATACATTATGAACATACTTAATGGATAAAAAAGCACGAGTATAAATTAAAAAAATATTAAGTTATAAAGATTATATTGACTTTAATAGAATGCAATAAAAATAATAATTTTTTTTACTATATAAAGAATAAGCTAAAAACAACATGTGAGTTATATTACTTAATTAATTATCTATTTAAAAAATTATTTAAAAATTCATACATAGAGAAAAATAAATCATATTTATTAACAAATAAAATTACATAAAAAGAATAAAAAAATAATTTGATGAAAATTTTATAAGAAATGACAAATTAAAAAAATCAATTTTAATATATATATATATATATATATATATATATATTCTAGTTCCATCATCAGTTATGGGTTCGAATCTAAGAGAAATTCTAGAGAATGTGTGCTATCCCAAGATTTTTTTTGTCTTACTTGAATGATAAGGGAAAAAAAATTGGGTCAAAGGAAAATGCCATTTTGGAGTTTTATCAACAATTTACCCCTAAGAGATGATAAATCTTTCACCTCTAAATCAATGGGATGAATTCCATCTCGATGATATCGAATCAGATCAATATCATGAATAATAATATTTGAACTCTCAAATCAATCTATCGTCGAGAATTGAATAGTATAACATACAAAGATAATTTATTCATACCAAATCCAAAAATGGATTCCTAACCAAATAAAAAATTTCCTTAATTTAT